GAATTTTGATCTCGGTGCAAATCATAAAGTGAAGACCACCGGTCAGTGCATGGAAAACATAGTTATAACATAAATAAATGCTCGAATGTGGGAGATTCTAAAACCTTGTGAAAAGATTCTGTTTTAATACCTTAACTCCACACATTTTCTGTTTACGGTTTTGAGTTTTATAAAGGTGGTAGCTCTAGAATTTTCTAGATTGAGCATATGCTTTGAAGCCAGTGTCTATAGCTATAAAACGAGAGAATGTACAGTTGTTTGTGGTGGGGATTATATGAGATACTATAAAAAAATAACAAGTTGTTTCCACTTTGCGGTTATTGTAAATAGTGCTGCAATGAGCAGCCTGTTTGAGTCTGCTCTCAAGTCTGTTGGGTAATGTGCATAGAATGTGATCTTTGGATAATCTGGTAGTTTGGCTTTGAGTTTTTGAGAACCAGCACCTTCTTTTCCACAGTGGCCGTACCATTTTGCATTCCCACCGCCAGTGGATGTTGCTGGCTTCTGTTGAGTAGTTTCTGACGCACAGTGTCCCTGACCCTGTGTAAAACAACGAAGCACCACCTCGTCCTGCACCGTCCTCACCGTCGCTACCACGTTTGAAGTTACTCTGTCAAGCCATGTTGGTGGAGGTCTTCCGATTTTTTGCTGACCCTTTACTGACATCAAGCATGATGTCTTTCTCTCGGGACTGGTCCCCCCTGAGAACATGTATAGATATGAGAGACAGTCTGGTAAGAATAATCCTGACTTCTGAGGATCGTTCTGGCTGTATTTCTCCCAAGACAGATTTGTTGATTCTTCTAGCAGTCCACTGTGTGTGGATATTTTTGGTATCTTAACCATCCTAGTATGAGTGAAGGTGTCGTCAGAGTTGTGAGTCGCACCTCTTTGATGGCTAATGACACTGAGGCTCTTTGCATCTCTTTGGTGGCTATTTGAGTGTTCTGTTTGGTGATGTCTTTTCAGCTCTTTTGCTTATTTTATAATTGGGTTATTTGTATTTTTGTTAAGTTGTCATGGTTTTATATATATATTTGATCGATTAGATTCTTATTGGATATATGGTTTTCAAAGATCCTCTTCTAGCTTGTCTTGACTTTCCATTTCATTTGGTAAACTCTTGATGAACCAAATTTTAAATTTTTTATGAGATTTATTTCTTTGTCTTTTGCTGTTTGTGTTCTTGTTATTACTATATTAGATGTTAAAAGTTGGAACTGACATTGTTTCCCCTAAGAACGTTAGGGTTTTAGGTAAGTGGATTTAAAAAATGTGGTACATACAATGGAATGCACTCAACCAGTAGAAATGAAGTCATGATACGTGCTATAATATGAATGGAGCTTAAAGACATTTTGCTGACTTATATAAGCCAACCACAAAGAACAAATAGTGAATAATTTCACTTATATTATGGGGGTGGGAAAAAGTAAGTGGATATAAACTGAAGTTTATTAATGGTTACTAGGGGGAAATGTGGAATTAATGGTGATGGGAAAACTACATTGTGCAGTTATCATTAGTCAGCATTTTGCTCAGAGATGTTCATATAAGAATCCTGTGACCAAAACGGGGCACTGCAGAGCAAATTTTCAAATTCTCATGAACTCCACACTCTGAAAGCATCAGGCTGGATGAATTCCTAAAACTCTTTCCCTGAGGTAAATATTAAGCATTAACTCATAAATATCCCCTGAAGTTTAAAGCAATCAGTTGATAGCTCTGCTTAACTAGGGGGAAAAAATCTCCCTTGATCCTTATGCTCTTTTAAGAATCTCTACATGGGCTCAGAGTGGCAACAGCAACTGAAAAGATTGGATGGAGCCCGGAGAGGCAGTGAGCTTGTGACAGTGGGGCAGGAGCAGCCCGGAAGGGTCGGTGAGAATGCAGTCAGTGTCACCGAGGCATACGTTCAGAAACTCCCATGGGTTTGTTTTGCTGTACTCAGCTAAGCAAAATGTAGGGGGAAATAGTACGAAGTCAGGAACTTGTCATTCCAGTCATCTGAAAAAGGACAGCCGCTTGTCCTGATGTCTTTGTTCTGAGATGTCTACTGGCATGCCTCATTGAACTGTAGACCATGTATGCAGGAGAACTTAATAAAGAGAAGGTTGGAATTTGTAGGTGGAAATAAATTCTTGGGGAAAATGGACTCTAAGAAAAAAATAAATTTTTCATTAAGATTTGAACTACATATGTATTTATGTGAAGTATATTCTCGTTCAGCTAATGATTATATTTATTATGTCCCGCCACACCACGGATCTTTGGTCATGTAAGGGCTTGGGTAACTTTTTAAAAATTTTGACCCACCATAAAGTTACGAAGAGTGTTTCATGATGTTGTGTTTATTTGCTCTTGGCTCTATTTATATTACTATTGCTAAATTAAGCAGAACATTATTATTGCAGAAATGAATTTATCAGATGAGAATTTGAAAATATTGTGGCTACAGCCGAGAAATAATTTTTGAAAGATAGGAAGACTTTTGAGCCTTTTCTTTTAAAGCTAATTACAGTGAAATGCTGTGTTCCTACTCCATCTATTTTGTGCTGTGACAGTGTGAGAACTTTGGGTTTTAATGACTCATCCTGTTATGAGTATATAGCTTATCAAGGGAGAGGAGTGCATGTTTTGGAGGTTAATGACTTAATTTCTGTGAGGAGTGTTTGTATCTTTCAAGTAAAGAGTCACACTCTCAGAAGCTCAGCATGGGCAGTTAGCTGTACCCTGTCTTGTAGGGTCACTGAGTCAGCATTGACTTGATGGCAGTGAGTTGGTTTATGGATCATGATGTGTCAAAATTATAAAGTTTATCTAGAGCTGCGGTTCGCAACCTGTGGATCACAATCCCTTTGGGGGTTGAATGACCCTTTCCCAAGGGTCGCACGATTCATAACAGTAGCAAAATGACACTTATGAAGTAGCAATGAAAATAATTTTATGATTGGGAGGGTCACCACAAGAGGAACTGTATTAAAGGGTGGTGACATTAGGAAGGTTGAAAACCACTGATCTAGAGGAATAAACAAGCAAAAATAACCCCAAACAACCATACTTGAGAAAAATAGTGGGATTAGCACTACTCTGTACTGAAAATTAAAACAAATAACTGAAGTTTGAGTCTTGTCCAGAGATAGAGTGATGGTAAATAGACCCTATGTAATACGAGAATTTAAAATGTATTGATTACTTATTTAGCAATTACTGTATCTACAGACTCTAGTGCGTCGGGTTATTATCCTTACAGTAGGGTCCTCTACTACAGTGCTTCTCAATCTTCCTAATGCCACAACCCTTTAATGCTGTTCCTCGTGTGGTGGTGACCCCTAACCATAAAATTATTTCGTTGCTACTCCATCCCTGTAATTTTGCTACTGTTATGAATTGCATGATCCTTGTGAAAGGGTTGTTCGACCCCCCCAAAGGGGTCGTGACCCACAGGTTGAGAAACGCTGCTCTAATAGCTCAGCTCTTATCCTAGCATTTTGATGAGGAAACAAGTTTAGAAAGGAGAGATCACTTATCAAAGACATATTCTTCCAAAATATAAGCTAGAGTTATTGGGTAGCACTTTGGGGGAAATTAGTTTGGATGTTTATTCATATTACATATCCCAAAATAAATTCCAGATGGATTTGAAATTTAGGAAACAAAAATAAACAACAGAGTAAAGGTTTAGAAAAACTAGGGAATTGATTTTCAGAATTAAATTTCTAAATTAGATACTTAGCAAATCTGTAAAACAGAATGCCTTTCTTTGTAGTAATCAAAGAAGTCACAAAATGGACTGTAAACATGCCTGACTACAGTATGTACCATTTCCATCTGTTGGTGAGTGTGTGGCACCGTGGTGACTTGCATGATGCTGTGGTACTGAAAGCTATGCCACCAGTATTTCAGATACCGGCAGGGTCATGCATGGCAGACAGGTTACCTCAAGGCATCTAGACTAAGATAGACTTGGTGGTTTACTTTAGAAAACTCTCCAGCGAAAAGCCTGTAAATCACAATAGGATTCCATCTGATACAGGGTTGGAATTTGAGCCCGCCAGGCTGAAAGTCACTCAGAAAACGCAGTGGACTTGCCATACCAGCCATCAAAGAAACGGTGTGGGACTTGGCAACGTGCGGTTCTGTTGTACATGGGGTCGTCAAGGATTGAAGCTAACGTGGCAGCAACTAACAAAAACAGACATTTAAAAAATTTAAATAACAAAAGTAGAGATAAAGTGGCAAACAGTAAGAAAATAATAATACCCAGGGCTGGCAAGTAGGGAACACTTATTATGTGATAAACTAGTAAAACCCGTTGTATTGCGTATCGAGACATAAAAATGTTTATTTCTCTGTAGTAATTCTGCTTAAGGGAATCTGTTGAGTTAAACAGCATGTGCTATAGAAAATGTTATTTATGAAACTATTTTGTATTTTGTTTTTAAATGATGAAATGTTAGGAAAGGAATATAAATGTTCATTTTAAGACTCAAACTCAAAACCAACTTAATGCCAGCGAGTTGATTCTGACTCTGATCTATAGGACCAAGTAGAAGGCTTTGAATCATTAAAGAAGCCGAAAACCTCACCTTTGTCCCTCAGAGGAGCTGGTGGATTTAAATTGCTGACCCTGTGGTTAATAGCCCAATGCTTAACCTATTAAGCCAGTAGGGATCTTAATGTAAGGATAGTGGTTAAATATTCTAATCACTAGCTGAAATATTACATAACCATTATTATCAAAGATCATGAAGTCTACTTACGAAAAAATTAATTTTTACTCTGCTTTTTCCCACACATCTGTACTGAGGTTATGACTGTAGAAAATAAGGTACTTGTACCATAAAATGTCAATATGCAGTATTATACATGAAAGTATTAATTGATGTTTAGAATAGTGGGATTATGAAGGTTTTCCTAATTTTCAGAGTTATAGCCAATATGGTTATTGCAGTTATTTAAAATTTTTAAATAAAAATGACTTATGTTTTGACCCTTAGGATGGTTTTGAATTCCACGATCCTGTGGAGGTATTCATCCAGCAGGCAAAAGCTAAGGAAGAACTGGCAGCTCTTAGTTCACAGGTAACATGACCCACTAGTTTTTTGTTTCTTTTTTTTCTCTCTTGATAGCAGCTTTAGGTTAAAAAAATAAGTGGCTGATTCAACTAGCTTGAATTTTAAGTATCTGAGAACTGAATTTGTATTTTCTGGTTTTTAAAATGTCATCTGACCCACAGCTGTATCAACAAAACAGCAGTAACATCTTGGTGTGATTTGATGTGTGAACAGAACCCGATAGTGCTGCTTTGTTGTTCTCTGTAGTTTTGTAGGAAGCAAAACATGCTCTCTGTGTAAGAAAACTCAAACAATTCTGTATCTGGAAAGCAGACATTGATTGTGGCAGCACTACAATGCTAAGATGAAACAGAATAGGTTTTCGATCAGTATTAATAGTCAACCTTGGAAGTTTTGTTATAACAATTCAATTCATATATGAGGGGGTACCACCACAAAAATGGAATTGTTTTCCCTTCCAAAGCTTTGTATTTAAAGTTTTTATGAAACCGCTTTCTTGCCTTTAAAGTATTCTCAATTACACTTAGTACATTTGTCAAATTAGTGATTCCATTCTTGGAAACATTTTTCAAACTCATCTGTGTGGATGGCTGACAGCACCTCCCTCGTTTTTTTCTTTACCTCTCTATGTCATTAAATTGCTGTTGTTTCATGTCCCTCTGCATTTGTGGAAACAAAGTCACATGGAACGAGGTCAGGTGAGTAAGGGGCATGAGGCAAGAGAGGCATGCTGGTTTTTTTGCCAAAAACTGGCACACTGAGATGGCTGTGTGAGCAGGTGCATTGTTATGGTGGCAAAATCAGCCCTGTCTGCCACAAATCAGGCCTTTTTTTTGCTTGCACGCTGTTAGGCAATCTTTTCAGGACCTCTAAATAGAAAGCTTGATTAACAGTCTGACCTGGTAGAACAAATTCCAAATGCACTACCTTGCTCACGTCAAAAAAACACACAAATGAACATCATCTTGATCTTTGATTTCACGTGATAAGCTATTTTGGGGTGACTTGACAATGGTGTCATTCCATTGGCTTGATTGATATTTGGTTTTGGGGTGGTGAGAATGGCACCATGTCTCATCATCAGTAATGACCTTGGGACAAAGTGTGGTCCCTTCAGAGCTGTTCTTTCAAAGCTCAGAATGTTTCCCATGGACACGCTTTTTTCCTGGTCAGTCAGAATCTGAGGCACACATTTCACAGCGACCCTTCTCATTCCCAATCTTCTGTGAGAATTTGCTGAGCGGAACTCCAAGGTGGTTAAGATCACTTCTCCTTCTCTTCAGTGGTCCACTGTCATTGGTCTTTGCACACAAGTGCACGGATTCTGTCAATATTTTCATCCATTTGGGAAGTTGACAGGCATCCAGAATGAGGTTTGTCATCAATTGACATTTCACCTTGTTAGAAACAAGAAGACCACTGGTACACTTGAGTTTTCCCATGACGCTGTCCTTTTAAGCTGTGTTCAACATCACAACAGTTTCTGCAGCATTTTTCCTGAGCAGGAAACAAAATTTCACAGCTACATGCTGTTCTCTTAAATCAGCCATCACAAAAAACGAGGTTCGAGCGAAACTGCTTTTACGAAAAAATTCACTGTGACCAGAGAGAACCTTCCCAGGTGACACCACTGGGTGCACTAACTCAGAACGAGTTGCTTGATGTTCGCTTAGCAGAAAAAATGTGTACTATGACAGCTCTTCCCAGTGGCACT